CGGAGGAGCTTTGAAAAGTTGCCGCGGCCGCAGCAGGTGCTGGGGGCGAGCGCGCAGTTGCGCCCGGCGCCGCGAGCACAAAGCCGGCGCGGCGGCGCGGCGCTGTTGCCATGGCAGCGGGGGCGGGGCGAGCCGCGGCGTGCCCAGGTTGCCGGGCGACGGAGGGGCGCGGGGGAGGGGGATGCGGAATCCTTGGGAGCCTCTCGCCTGGATGCGCCAAGTCTGAAGTTTCTTTGGATACTTGTCTCAGTGGGTAGTTAACTCAGCCACTTAGCCTTTCGTTAGGGCATCTGGATCTGGGCTACTACCTACGTAATGCCATATTACTCTGCTTTTGAAAATATTTGGATTGTGTTCCGATGAAAGACATGAAAAAAGTTAAAGGATACTCATTTCTAAAACGATATAAAAAAAAAAAAGGTATACTGCTTCCTCATTTTCAATGTAGTGTCTGCTGATAGATATTCCTTGATTATCGTTTTCAGAAAATAAAATACAGAACCTGGTTTGGATCCATGAAAACGAGTTGGCCCTCAGCCTTTCCAACGTATTAACCAAAATCTTTACAGAAGAAAAGCACATACAGCAGATAGTACACACAGTATTAAAAATTCAGACCACAGAAGGACACGACTTTCACGAAGGATGGGAGAGAATCAACTTCATTTTATTTCACTGGGTATTTTCTTACATGTAAACGTGCCAGATAATTTTGGCTTATTATCTCAGAGATTACTTGTTTTAGCCGTACACTACAGAAAAAAGAAATTGGCAAGGAATTTGAATTATCTTTTCCAGAGCAGTGATTGGCACCTACAGTGGCATTCACCCCCACCCCCACCCCCTTTTCCTTTTATCTTCCTGTAGCTAAAGGTATCTTTTGGTATTTTTAATCTGTTTCTCCTGATTTTAATTGTTTGCCAAAGACACCGATCTGTTACTAGTTCTTAAGATGTATTCCACACCCTAGTTTATTTCTTCCTCTGCCTCCATTTTTCAGTTATCTGTGTTGTTTATTTATTCTTGTATTCATTCATCAAATATTTATTGAGGCTCTACTTTGTGCTGTGTACAGTGCTAGACTTGAGAGAACAGGAGTAAGTGGTGAGAGGGACATACAAAGTTTAATTAGAAAAATGCACAGTTAAGGGAGAGGAGAAGGCTAGGAAGTAACTATAATCCACAATGATATTCTCATTTGGAAATTCCCCCCGCGATGACCGGTGGCTGGCCCCCCTGACTGGCAGCGAGCTTTGCACTCCATCAGTGTCACACTTGTTGTACCCGGGTGGAATATAAGGAAGACGACGCTCACTAAAGTGCTGTCATCTGCTCCAGAGCTGCCAGTCAGCAAGTGGTAGAGTCAGGATCCAAACTCAGATGGGACTCCTGTGACAGGCTGCTTCTGACGCGTTAAACCCTTGGATCCCTATGTTCCTATTGACCAAACTACCTCATTTTTATCATTCTTAATGAGTGTGAATTTCTAAAAAAAAAAAATATGCAGTTTTCTTTTTGGTTGAGATGTTTCTAAAGTCAGACATCGATTGCATTCCTGAAAAATACGTGTTTTTCCTACGGGAGTGTTGCTATTGTTGGTAATCTTTTTTCAGCAGTTCCTGAGAAGTTAATGAGAAAACAAAAATATGGTTCTGCAAATCATGTTTTAAGAATATTTAGAGGTACTTATGTATTAAAGTATCTATTGTGCAAATTGTTATAGAATTAGATTTGTTTAAGGCAAAATATACTACTTAGTTATCATTCAGGTTTTTATTACCTTTCCTGATTTTAAATATTTTTTTGTCTTGTATCTGTTTTTTATTATGGTCATAATAGTTTATAACATTGTGAAACTTCAGTTGTATATTATTATTTTTCAGACATCATATAAATTCGTCCCTTCACCTCTTGTGCCCACCTCCCATCCCCCTTCCCCCTGGTAACCACTAAACTGTTCTCTTTGTCCATGTGTGAGTTTATCTTCCACAAACGAATGAAATCATACAGTGTTTATCTTTCTCTGTCTGGCTTATTTCTCTTAACATCATACCCTCAAGGTCCACCCTTGTGGTTTCCAATGGGATGATTTTGTCTTTTTTTTATGGCTGAGTAGTATTCCATTGTATTTATATACCACATCTTCTTTATCCATTCATCCATTGATGGGCACTTGGGTTGCTTCCAGGTCTTGGCCATTGTGAATAATGCTGCGATGAACGTAGGTGTGCGTATATCTTTTTGAATTTGTGATTTCATGTTCTTTGGATAAATATCCAGAAGGGGAATAGTTGGATCATATGGTAGTTCTATTTTTAATTTTTTGAGTACTTCCATACTGGTTTCCATAGTGGCTGCACCAGTTTGCACTCCCACCAGCAGTGTAGCAGGGTTCCCTTTTCTCCACATCCTCTCCAACAATTGTAATTACTTGTCTTTTAAATAATAGCCATTCTGATGGGTGTGAAGTGATATCTCATGTAGTTTTGATTTGCATTTCCCTAATAATTAGTGATGTTGAACATCCTTTCATGTGCCTGTTGGCCATCTGTAAATCTTCTTTGGAAAAATATCTGTTCATATCCTCTGCCCATTTTTTGATCAGGTTGTTCATTTTTTTTGTTATTGAACTGTATGAGTTCTTTATATATTTTGGAAATTAACTGCTTGTCTGATATATGATTTGCAAATATTTTCTCCCACTTGATGTGTTGCCCTTTCATTTTATTGATGTTTTCCTTTGCTGTGCAGAAGCTTTTTAGTTTGATGTAGTCCCATTTGTTTATTTTTTCTATTGTTTCCCTTGCCTGAGGAGACATGGTATTCAAAAAGATACTGCTAAGACCAATGTCAAAGAATGTACTGCCTATGTTATCTCCTAGGATTTTTATGGTTTCAGGTCTTATATTCAGGTCTTTAATCTGTTTTCAGTTAATTTTTGTGTATGGTGTAATATAATGGTCTACTTTCATTCTTTTGCATGTGGCTGTTCAGTTTTCCCAAAACCATTTATTGAAGAGAATTTCCTTTCTCCATTGTATGTTCTTGGCTCCTTTGTCAAAGATTAGCTGCCCATAGATGTATGATTTTATTTCTAGGCTCTCAATTCTGTTCCATTGATCTGTGTGCCTGTTTTTCCGCCAGTGCCATGCTGTTTTGATTACTATTGCTTTGTAGTATATCTTGAATTCAGGGAGTGTAATACCTCCAGCTTTGTTCTTTTTTCTTAGGATTTCTTTGGCTATTGGGGTCTTTTGTTGTTCCATATAAATTTTAGGATTCTTTGTTCTATTTCCATGAAAAATGTCGTTGGGATTCTGATTGGGATTGCATTAAATCTGTAGATTGCTTTAGGTAGTATGGATATTTTAACTGTGTTTATTCTTCCAATTCATGAGCATGGAATATCTTTCCATTTGTTTATGTCTTCAATTTCTTTCAAATAATGTCTTATAGTTATCAATGTATAGGTCTTTCACCTCCTTGGTTAAATTTATTCCTAGGTGTTTTATCCTTTTTGTTGCAATTATAAATGGGATTGTATTCTTGATTTCTTTTCTGCTACCTCATTGTTAGTATGTAGAAATGCAACTGATTTTTGTATGTTGATTTCGTGCCCTACAACTTTACTGTACTCGTTAATTATTTCTAATAGTTTTTTGGTGGATTCTTTAGAGCTTTCTACATATAGAATCATGTCATCCACAAATAGTGACAGTTTTACTTTTTTCTTTCCAATTTGGATCCCTTTTCTTTTTCTTTTTCTTGCCTAGTTGCTCTGGCTAGGACTTCCAATACTATGTTGATTTTAAATCTTTTAAATCACATTTGTTAGCTTCTGCTGGCAGTGACTTTAGGTAGGTGATAGTTGGAAATTACTATCTGGAAAGTTGTCCTAGAAAGTTCATGTATGTACCTGGCTTGACCTGCAGTGAGATTTGTCTACATGTACCTGGTCGCTGCTCTGAAAACCACTTTGAACTAATTTTATAAGTGTTTTTACTGTTAAAATGTTATTTTTCCACATACATTGCAGGATCCATGAAGGCAAGAACAAGGTCTTTTGTGTCTTTAGAATCGTCCTCTTAGAATCAAGTATAACACTCTTCATAAATATTAACTGGCAGGAGAAACAAAAATAAACTGTTATCAAGCTAGTGAAATACAGTGATACTATGCTGTAAAATTGTAGCTAGTACCTATTTTACAGACAGGAAAACTGAGCTATGGTGATTAGCGTATAAAGTATTTTCCAATGTATTATCTGAATTGAACCTCACAACCACCATGCAAGAGTCCCCATCACCATTTTGTTTTAAGTATATGGGAAAAAAGAAACTCAGGGAAGTTGAGTGACTTGGTCAGAGTCACCCAGAAAGGGGGAGGCACATTTTCTGATGATGTCAAGTGATTTTGCATTTTACCTTTGCAAACCAGACGCACCTGTGAGCTTTGGCAGACTGGGCGTCTCAACAGACCTGGCAATGCTGGGTGCATGACGCATTCTCTCCCCTCACCTTCCCAAGGCTCTCATCTCTTCTGGGAAGAAGATGAGGGAACCTCTTTAGTAGAAGAGGAGGCAGGGCAGGAGAAAGGAAGAGCAGGAGAGGGGCTCAGTGGAGGAAGACAAGTGAGTGTTAGGAAAAAGAGTGAAATGAAGTTGATAAAAGAAGAAAGAATATCGAAATTGGTGGTGAGGAGACCCCGGGGGCGGGGAGTATTAGTCTGCTAGATCTCCCATAACAAAGTACTGCAGACTGGCTGATGTAAACAATAGACATTTACTGTCTCACAGTTCTGGAGGCTGGAAGTCCAAGATCAAGGTGTCAGCAGGGTTGGTTTCCTCTGAGGCCTCTCTCCTTGGCTTGCAGACAGCCGCCTTTTCACTGTGTCCTCACATGGTCTTCCCTCTGTGTGTGTGTTTGTGTCCTAATCTCTTTTTCTCATGACACCTGTCATGTTGGATTAGGGCCCACTCATATGACCTCAGTTTACCTTAATTACCTCTTTAAAGGCCCTGTCTCCAAATACAGTCACATTCTGAGGTACTGGAGTTAGGACTTTAACATGTGGACTTTGGGGAGACACAATCCAGCCCACAACAGAGGAAAGTGAACTTGGTTTATGACTCTGAAGACAAGACCTATTGCAATTCTTTATTGTTCCCATTAGTATTCTCGCCTAGCAGAAATAAATGTTTGAGCAAGTTGTGGCAATTTTTTACATCAGTATATTGCACTGGATGTATAAAGAAAACAAAGAGAGATTCAATCTGAATTCTTCTATATTTAGCTCACTTCATATTTTATTTTCACTCTCACCTCTGCAGGATCAGCTTCAAACCTTGTCAGGTTCTGACGAGTGCAGACGAAGCTGACAACGACCCCATTTCCAGCTAGGTATGACCTGTCTCTCTGCCTTTTTTGAGTGGTGGAGTGATTTGAGTCACATGCATAGCCTGTGCAGCGTGATAAACCTGATAAGAAGGAAATCGCAATACCGAAAGGACAGTGAAGCGTAGATTGTACAGCTCTCAGAGCCGTGAAGATAAGCTACGGCAGCCTTCTATCTGGATAGCATTTTCCCTGTTTATTTCTAACAAGATGTGTTTGCTATATATTTCAGACTGTGAAAGGTAGCCAGAAGAATGTGAAGGTTTTCTCTGAGACACGGAACAGCTAAAAAGGTTGTAATTGGGATGTGTTGCAAAGACTCAAAATATTAAGATGCTGCGGCCACAGAGTAGCAGGGGTGAGAGGGAAGCCTGTGAGTATTGCAGCCAGTGCCTGCCCTGGGCTGGGCTACACAATCTGCTTTGTAAAAATAGGAATCAGTGCTGCTTCAAGATCGCCAAAGAAGGTTCCAGAGTCTTCTGTAATAAAAGATTCAGTATTCAACAGTCATCAGAATTTCAAAGTCCTTTTGTTTGTCTCCTTGACTTCCTTCATTACTTCATATTCTGCCTTCAGAAGAGGTGGAGCATAGTCGTCCACTTTTCCTCATGTAATGTCTTGTCATTTGCTAAAGGAGTGTTAATAGGTCACTTCTTGGCCTTTTTCTGTAAGTTGAATCGGAACTCTGTCATTATTTTAGGAATCCATTTCTATTACCATCCCACAGAAGCTACCCTCGCATCTTGAGTTGAGGAGTTGTTATTTATGTCTTCATGGCCTTCCCTCAGTCAATCTCCTTTGAGGACTATCCTATTTACTTCTAAATGTGAGGCCCCAGGCTATACTCTGAAATATCCCAACTAAAGAATGTGTATCCAGTATACTTGGTGGCACTTTGTCAAGGAATACCAAAATCTTTCGAAATGTACTCTTTGGACGTGATCCACTAGCTTTCCAAGATGGGTGGTTTCAAAAACAGGTTCTTGTGTGGAATAGCTATTGTTATCCAGCCAAAAAAGAATGCCTATTCCTCAGAGCAGGGCACACTTAATTAGGAAGGGGATCGATGCCAGAACCTGGAGTTGGAAAAGTCAGCTTTGAAAGTTAGTACAAGTCCCTGAAGGGCAGAACTATATATTTCACCTTCTGATTTGAGCCAGACATTTGTGTAACTGGTCGGTTGTGCAAATCGTCTGGCACAGGCCCAGGAGGTGGGTTGGTCTGTTCAACGGCTGCTTCTATAACACCTTTTAATTAAAAGCTCGCCTCAGATGTACTCACTCCCCTCAAGTTAGGAGAAAAGAACTAAACACAAATGTATAGAGTAAGGAAAAACTACTGTTCATAGCTGTTCATGACTTCCCCAGATTTGGCACAGTGAGATACCCTTCTTTCCCCTGTGCTACTGAAGAAGGTCATGACACTGAAGTGGCTTAGAAGTTCCCAGGCAATCAACAAGTATTTATCAGTCACTTACTGTCTACTCAGTGCTGACAGGCCGTGAGAAGATATGTCACAGACTTTCTCCTCAAGCAGCTGATACTTAAGTTCAGCGTAGACAGACATGAAAATATTTATGAAAGCACAGGTAAAGGCTGTGTCACGCACACTCTCCTAGAGCCACCCGGAACAATGGCTCAAGGTGGGGCTCGGTGGCCAGAGAACTACATCTTCTTCCTCTCTGTGGCTTCCCAGATGCTTATCTCCTTCAAGTTCTCATCACCCCAGCCCCCTAAACCCAGCCCTTTTCTGGTTTTTAGAGTCTTCCTTCAATCCAGTGAGGATGCTCAAGAACTCCTGTCTCTGAATGTGTTTAAACCACGGTGATTTTTAAGCCTTTATACTCCTGGAGGAACCTCATCAGGGTTTGAAGGGACTGCGCTGAAGGGGCAGAAGAGAGAGCCATTTCTACTCTCTTTCCTCATCATTGGTAGTAGTCATAAATCCTTCAAAAGCCCTAGAAAGACTGCCTAGTGTTCATTTTAAAGACAGAAGGATACGTAGGCAACATAAGAATATGAGACTGTGTTGAGGGCAACAGCAGGGCAGAGAGGAGAAAAATACTGGTCCAAAACCCTAGATGGTGACAGAAAATAGGCCAACAGCAAGTGGTCCTTTTCCTGAGACTGATGGAAGAAAGTAAACGTGGTGATTAGGAAGCCAGCCCTGGGATGCAGAGGTGTTTCCTGGTTTATACCTGCAGAGGCCCCAGGCTCCCGTTCCTCACTCACTGGAGCTCAGCTCCTCCCTTCACGATGATTAGCAGTTATTTGGAGCTGAAGGGGCCCCCACAAGGAGAGTGGATGTCTCTGTCCCATTGTCCCAGGCATTTCAAGTTGGAATGGTAAATTCAGTTTGGAATGGTAAATTCAGCTGTAGGGTGTTATATTTGCAGGTTTTTCTTTTTTTTTTTTTAGCATACTGCTGCTTCATGTGCATGCATTAGATATTTGGGGCTGGTTCATTGTGTATCCTATTTCTAAGAAAATATGGGCCGAATTCCAAACAAGTGAATTGCATTTTTGTTGCACAGAGCCTTTGTAACCTGAAGCTTAGGGCAACTGAGAATTTTATTTGGATGGCAAAGACATATACGAGCAAACAGTGTTAATAAAGGAGGGTTGGGAGACCTGGGTGCAAATCTTGTCTCTCATACAAATTAACAAATGCTTAGCAAGTCAACTTCCCAGAGATTACATTTTGTTATCTGCAAGAAGGGGGACTTGATTAGATAGTTTCTAAGGTTGCTTTGCATTCTGGAATTGTGCTCTTTCTAAAAGGCAACTTAAAATGGAATGTGTCTTTTCTAAGAATCCCAAATGCTGGTCAAATATCAATCACTCTGATTTTTTTTTTTTTTAAAGATTGGCACCTGAGCTTATAACAATTGAATTCCCCCAGTACATAGTTGTCTATTTTAGTTGTGGGTCCTTCTAGTTGTGGCATGTGGGATGCCGCCTTAGCAATGACCCGATGAGCAGTGCCATGTCTGCGCCCATGATCCAAACCTGTGACACCCTGGGCCACTGAAGTGGAGCGCACGAACTTAACCACTCGGCAACGGGGCTGGCCCCCAAATCACTCTGATTTTTATCCATGAGTTTCCAGAGCCCCTATGAGACAGCAATAATGTTACCTCCCCGTTTTCATACACAAGCTTGGGAAAGTCTTTCCAGAAAAATTTTTAGAGATGGGAATTTCTTAACTTTTCTTAATTTATTCTTTTGGTTTATGCCTTTGTGAAAATATAATTGCTTCAGATGCTACTGCCTCCTGTCTCGTCTGTGAGGTCTCAGCCTAGAGAAGCATCGGGCCACATGGCAGTCACATTGCCAAGAGAATGCCATGGTCTTTTGAGACTGTGTCTGTTGTCAATCTGTTATGTCTCAAATAGAATATCTCCGTCTGCATCCTCAACTCGAATGCCTGTAATTGCCTTTGATTGGAAGCGTAGAAGGGTCTCCTTGTGCAGTGAATTACAGCATAGACAAAGTGACCCACAATTGTCCGTCATTTTACACTACATATGAAATTTTGAGAAGTTTTGAATTTTGGTATTTTGGATTTATATTTTAAATGACCTAAGGCATCAAACTAAATGAAATCTACGCTGAAACTCCATAGTGAAAATAGATCTCTTCGTTTATAGAATTTATAATCTTGGGATCTTATTTATTAAGTTTCCTTTTAGTGGCCGTGTCTCTATGTAGATAGTAAATGTGGTGTTTTAGAAATTTTTTTCCTTTCCAATTACTTATTTATTTAGAAAGGAAAAAGAGAAACCCACACAAACATTGCCTGAAAGCTTCCAATTAGGCAAATTTTAGGAAAAATGTGTTTTGGGATCTGTATTTAAATAAGGATGTTTTGGTTTATAGGTTGAGCATATCCATGCCATCAGCATGAGAAACATGGACAGTTTCTACCCAGGATCCAAGCCGTGGGCCTTTCTTGCCTTCCCCTGGATCCGGGGCGGTCACTGAAGGAATTCTAGCCCAGTACCTTGCTTACTTTCCCACCAGAGACAACTGAGTCCATCTCACAGAGGCTACAGCCAAACAGCACCATTCTATAGGATTTTACAGAGTAAGGAGTGGAGAAACTAAGAAATTCCAACTGTATCTATTATAATTTTGAGAAAATGTTTGGATGTAGTTAATTCTTTTTTTTTTTTTAAAGATTTTATTTTTTTCCTTTTTCTCCCCAAAGCCCCCCGGTACATAGTTGTGTATTCTTCGTTGTGGGTTCTTCTAGTTGTGGCATGTGGGACGCTGCCTCAGTGTGGTCTGATGAGCAGTGCCATGTCCGCACCCAGGATTCGAACCAACGAAACACTGGGCCGCCTGCTGCGGAGTGCGTGAACTCAACCACTCGGCCACGGGGCCAGCCCCTGGATGTAGCTAATTCTTAATGTAAAAATATATCATTGATTTTTTTTTAAAAAGGCGGGAAATAACATCAATGAGCAGTTTGTGAACCAGATACTCATACATTTTGTGCTTTTTGGAGCTGTCGTTCTCACGATGGAGGTGAGTAGAGTGAGGCTTGCAGAAGTTACGTCACCCGTCCGAGGACACCGTGGATAAATGGCAAAGCTGGTGTCCAACCTCAGGAAAAAAAAGAAAAGAAAATTTTTCCTGTCTAGCCCTTAGATCTGTGTGTGACTTGAAAGTGAGGACCTACACTACTGATAAGATGCCTACATTTGCAGTGGGATGAAGGATAGCTGGAATAATGTGAAAATCAACAACTCCCTCATTGTGGGACTATATTCTCTGGAGAAAACTGTAAGCACCTTTAAAGCCACTGGGGTCGCTGGGCACCAGTGGGGGCCAGTGCAGGACTAGCAGTGGACGGGAAGGAGGTGGGCAGGGACATTCGCTTTCAAACAGTTCACCCTTAATTATTTCTTTGGAAAAGGTGCGTCTGGAATTTTCACTGGGATCTGATTTATGAAGATGGGCTACGAAGGAGAGAGAAAGATTTAGCCAAAGTAGTTGGGCTAAAGGCTGTAAATGGATTAGCCTCATGATAGAAAACAACATCCTTTATGAATAGTTTTGTTCAAGTGGTTTTATATTCAAAATTTAATGTTCATGATAGTTTAATTTGCTAATTGAACAAACAGATATATCCCACTAGTTTACTAAAAATCTGTTCTTAAATAACTGCTTTTAAATAAACATGGATTTTCATAGTGGGAGAGATGGCAGTTTTTTGGAAAGCAAGAAAAACTCTATTTTTATAATAAAAATTTAGTTGTATTAATTTTTAAATTTTAATTGTTTTAATTTTTAAAAATATGTAATATATTTACATGCTATAAAATTAGAAGGTACACAAGGACATCTGCTAAAAAGTCGCCTCTTCTCTCCTGCCTTCTGCCCTGCTAACACCTCCAGGTCACCCAGCTCCGCCCGCACGGCAGCCAGTATTACCAGGTCCTTCCACACGCTTCATAGAAATTCTATGCCTATGTAAATAAGTAGATATATTTTCAGGGGCCAGCC